ATCTATCCTCCAATTATGGCACGCTGTCAGAGGCATGCCTCAGGACCACGGTGTTTGCTTCACTTTGTTAAACTGCTTTTACTGAATTAGTTTTTATGGGGTAACAGCATGAGTCTACATCGAGATCCTAATATGAGCCAGGGGTGTGAAATTCATGTGTTATATATATTTATAGAAACCAGTTTAAACGTGTCCTAGGGAGTATAGTTATAAATGAACGCGAACAATTGAACAAATAAATAAATACAATATGAGAAATTATTGATCATCCAGCTGTGTTTTATAGTGATAGAAACATGAAAGAAAAAAGGAGGCATGTTTATTGCAGAGTTATTCACAATAGCCAAGATTTGGAAGCAGCCCACATGCCCGTCAGTAGATGAGTGGATAAAAAAGCTGTGGGACATTTACACAGTGGAATACTACTCAGCCATAAAAAAGAAGGAAATCTAACCTTTTGTGACAGCATGAATAGACCTAGAGAGTATTATGCTAAGTGAAATAAGCCAGTCAGAGAAAGACAAGTACCATGTGATCTCACTCATATGTGGAACCTAATGAACAAAATAAACTAAATAGAAACAGACCCATAGATACAGAGAACAGACTGACAGCTGTCGGAGGGGAGGGAGGTTGGATGAAAAAGGTGAAGGGATTAAGCAAAAAACAAAACAAAAAAACACACAGAAAGACAAGAAACAAGGAGGGATCACTTTTTTCTGAACACCTATTATATACCAGGCATTTTTTTAGGTGCTTTACTAACATTATTTTATTTAGCCTTTTCTTCATACCATCCCTCTAAGGTTGGTATCATTAGTCCATTTTATAGATAAGAAAGTTTCACAAATAGGTAACTGCTCTATAATGACCACTTTGGGATTCAAACTCAGGAGTGTCCTGCTTTAATTGAATCATAGAGTTGTGGCAAAGCAACCCAAATTCCTTTCTTGCTTAGCCACCTATTTTGGAGTCTTATTACTCCTTGCCACTCTCTATGAATGGCATCAGGATTCAAACTCAGGAGCGTCTGACTCTAATATCGCTGTTCTTTTAGGACACCTCACTGTTACACTGTCCAGGAAGTTATTCCTTCTATTCCTCAGCAGCGGTCAAGACAAAAACCACAGAGTATAAGCCAAACTGCTTCCCTCTTCCTGGCTAGGTTTTCATTCATTTCTCACCATAATGTGTGCTCCTACTGCCACCTGCTGGCAGCCTCGCATATCCCGATACACCTTTGCAAACCCGTCTGTGTGATAGAAAAGCCATCTGGCTATTTAAAAAAAAAAAAAAAGAGCCAAGAAGCTTAACGCAGACAACCAGCTGGCAAGTCCTCCCAGAAGCTGGTAAATTTATAAGGGAGGAATAGTGGCCATATACCTCTCTTGGGGATAAATCCTTTCTCCTTCAAAGTCACTTGCAGTTTTCATCAGATTTCACCTGTCTCTAGGTATTGAAAGGAAGAACAAATTCTGTTATCCAGACCATCTAAATTTGAATGATGGTCTCTTGCTAAATTGGGGTATTCCCTGCCCCTAGCGCATAACACTGACCACTGCACTGACAACCAGCAAACCAACAGGTAACAGGGCCTTGACTAAGGAGAACCTAAGTGGCTGGCAAAGCTCGGGTTGGCCTCCTTACAGAAGGTGGGGCCCGGGGCAGTCAGGACACTGAGTGTCCTGGTCCTTTACTCTGGACAGCCAGGACTACTAGGGGAATCCATTCCCTTTGTCAAGAACATCCATCTATGACACACACACACAGATATTCTACAGAACATAATGACTTGTCTTCTGGGGTGTAGTCTTGGATTTTTATTTTTCTTTGTTTCTCCCTCCTTGACAAAATGGGGAAAAACCCTTCCTGGGGGTGGAGAAGCTTATTTCTGACTGTTGAAAAGAAAAGAAAGCAGGAATTGTCCCGACAATTAGGAGCTCATCAAAGCCTCATTTTGCTCATCAGCAGTCAGTGCCCCGTCCGGCACCCCCGCATGCTCCTCCGACTCAATGCCTGCCTAATGAAGAACTCCTAGGAACAAAAGACCCTTTCAGGCCGGCGCACATAATTATTAGAGGAGACTTGCATAACTGTCGCAGACTCCTCATGTTTTCGGGCCTGTCTCTAAATTTGGTTATTCACAACCTTTATAGCTCAATATTATTGCCTAACTGTGATCATTTTCTAATTATCCTAATAATACCTATTAAATAATTCCCATTAAATTACTTGAACCAGAGCAGCACAGGCCGGCTCAAATACAACTTAACCTAATAAGCATCGGTCATTCATTAAGCACCAGGGCAATCTCTTAAAGGGGCTGAATAGAATATTAAACTGTAAAGGAACATTATTATTGCACAAATGTTATTACAAGTTAGAGTGTATTAATTTTGGTGCCTGGTTTGCAAATTTTCCATATGGTTTCCTTTGGGGCTGCTCTCCATGACTTGGCTCTTTTAGTCTTTCGTCCGTGGTTGATTTGCATCTGTCACCCACACAAGGACAATTGAGGAGAAAAAGGCCCATAAACTTAACAGAGAGATTAAATTACCAAGGATATAAAGAGAATGAATGGAATTCATTTGGCCAGGTTAGCACACCTTTGAAAACACCATAAGCCATCCGGGCTTCTTTAGCTGATAACTTGAAATAGCCTTTCTTTACATATGTGGTGAGGGAGATTTTCAGAAGCGTTAAAGATTTGGTTTCTAGAATTTAAATCTCAAGCCGTGAAGATTAGAGTCAGTTCTTTTAAAGTGTATGTATGTGGACATCAATATTTTGTAAAATAATATCAAGTAGCATTTATTGCCTGCACTCTGGGAGACACTTTGCCCACCAATACCCTTAATTCTCAAAATGACCTGGTAACGTGGAGACTAAAGCTCCATTTTTCAGATAAGAAATATGGGGTCAGAGAGGTTAAGTGATTTTCCTAGGACCACACAGCGTAAATGCAATGGGACAGAATTTGAACCCAGTGCTCTTTGACGCCTATAATTCTACTTGCTCCCCAGCAAACAGAAGCATGCCCCAGCTTTGCTGGTTTATCATTTTTATTTCCAAGGCTCTCACCGAAATTGGGATTCCTAAAGAAAAGTGAGAGAGCTTCTTGTTTGGGAACATGACCAAACATCAAACAAGGGCTGATGATCGTCCCAATGGCGGCTGGAAAGACAGGCAGCGACTTTTGCTCCAAGCAGCAAGAAACAGGTATCGCTTTGTAATGAAATCTACTTCTGATGGGTGGATTTGGATTTTCTTTGCAAGGAAATGCAGAGTGTATTTTAGTAAGAAAAGGAACAAATATCTATTAATCTATCCCATCCATCTTATAGTCAGGCACTATGCTTGGGCTTCCACATATATTGCTTTAGCCAGTCTTCACCACAAATCCAAGAAATGAATATAATTATCACTCTTACTTTACAAACAAGGAAACTGAGGCACAGAGGGGTAAAGTCAGACTCAGTGTTTCCCTGTTATCCAGAGACAAGTGACCCACACAGCTAATAGAGCTGGAGTCCCAGGGCCCTCACTTGGATGGCCCCTCGCAAGGCCCTGGGGGCAGCCTCATGATTTTGTGAGCATGACTCTGTATGAGCTTCAGGCCTCACAAAATCTGGGTCCGCCTCTGTTCGTATCATCACTCTCAGGTAACTGAACTTTCAGGAGAATTAAAATCCTAACCTTTCACTATGTTGTTTAACCAGTAACACATTTTCATGGTTGCACAGAGAGATATGTGTTTTTAGTGTTTGTGCTTTTCACATTTTACATCCAAAATATAAAAGGTTAAAGACATCATGTCACAAAGCTAAAGAGACAATACTTCCCACAAACTCTAAGGGCCCCTCCAATTCACTAGATACAGAGATGCTCGGTGGTTCCCAAAAAGCATGGATTTCTTGAAGTCATCCCTCACCCCAGACCCTTCCCCGGCTCCTCATCTGTTAAAGCATTTCACGTTTTTCACATCAGGCCTTTGCAGGTGCTGTTCCCTCTGCCAGAACAGCCACCTCGCCTCAGTGGTCAACTCCTTCCTCCTCTGGTTCTCATCTCGATGGGTCACCCCTTCCAGGAAGCCTGGCCCAGCCACCCCTCTCCCAGGGTCAGTTAGGAACCTCTCATTTCTGTTCCCATGCACCCTAATGCTTGTCCCTATCGCAGCAATTGTCCTCTTGTACGTGGTTTATTTCTCTACATGTCTTTGTTCTTCAATGGACTCTAAAGCTCTCAAAGGCAGAAGCTGTGCCATATCATCATTACAGACCCCCTGTCTTCATGTCCAACACGTGGTAGGGCTTCACCAGGTGAACTCTGTTTGGATCTGAGAATCTGGAGCCATCAGTAGAATAGTTACCATTTAGTGCTTTACCTGTGCCAGGCAATGTGCTAATTTATATATATGTATATGCATATTTATGTATATATATCTATGTAGATGTGTATATATTTATATATACACATACACAGAGAGATATCTATATAGATATATCCATATCCGTATATATATAATTTCTTCTTTAATTCTTACATCAGCTCTATAAGGTAGGAAACCACTATTATCTCCATTTTAGAGGAGAAAACAAAGTTCATAAAGGTTTAAAACATGATTGGCCCCAGGACACACAGTGAGTAAAGGGAAAAACCAGGATTTTTTCCGTAAGTCCGGGCTTTGAATCACTACCAACATTGCTTGAATGCCCAAATAGTTCTCCTGAATCTACCCTAACCCCTGAATTTCAAAGATTCACACTAGCAGATAACTGGGCAGACCAGAAGCCCAGGGCCAGGGCGCACAGGCCTGCCAGTGGCCCTGGGAATTTCAAGGGGGACCGGGAGGTTGGTGGTGAGAGTGTGAAGCAGTTGTGGATTTCACGCCGTATGTCAACCCTGACAGATCCAGAGGATGACAGAGTCTCCCTGTTTCTCCTCGCAGGTTAGGCCACAGCCACGGGCAGGCCGCCTGCTGCGGTCCCCCGGGAGCCTACCTGCTTCTCCTCGCAGCGCCTTCTCCAGCCTCACGCCCCGGATCTCCGAAGCCCTCTGCCGCTCCTCCACCTCCTCCAGCTGCCTCTGGATGGCCTGCAATGCGAGGATCTTACGTCACATGGGGACTCTGGGGCAGAGTCACAAGAGGGGGCCAATTCTGCCTCTTACTTTCCAAGAGGAAGAAGCCCTTTCCCACGCAATGCCACCTCCTTGATTAGCAGGGGCAGGACCTCCAAACTTCCAAACAACTAGAACTTGACATTTCCCTTCTTTAGCAATGAAGACATAAAGCAAGGAGTTTGGGTGTCAGCTCAGTTTGCCCCGGATCGACGTTAAAATAGTCCCCTTTGACCAGGCTGATCAAAAAGACACGCTCTCGGGCAGAGGCTCCTGGGCTAGGCGGGCGGTCCTCCTGGCTCCTGGGCTCCTCGGCGCCTCAGCCTCGGACCATGGTCACGGCCGCACCACTGGAGCTGCATCCACTGCTCGGAGTAGGACACGGGCCCCAGGGGCAAACCCAGAGCACGCTCACATTCCACTTTCCCAAGAACAGGCAGGCCCCTCCCAAGCAGCTGGCCTGGGGCAGGAGACCTGGGCCAACTCCTGGAGCTGGGTGTTGTTTTCTCGGTCTGCCTGGCCCCTGCCCTCAGCTACAGATTGTACCTGTCCTTCGCTGCCCCCCGGCGCTAACTTCCAAGGAGCTTTTACTGTGGACGTGTATGGTAGCTTTGTTACTAACAGGTTATTAAGACCCATGATGTTTATCCTACTAAGAGACAACCTCACACACACACTCCTTAGACTCACCATTGGCACCTATAAGGTTTGGGGTCATGAGTGGATTTGCATTTTCATGTTTACTTTCCCTGCTAGCTATTTCTCTCTCGTGTATATTAAGAAGGAAAATTGGGGGAAAGCCTTTCCTATGTCCATTTTGCTCGGTCCATCCATTTTCTCTGTTTTCAGACACCTTGCTGCCAAAAGGCACATCTCTTGGCAGAACAGCCTTTGCACCTGGCAGACCAGGTATATTTAAGGAACTGGCCGCTGTTGGGGCAGGTAGGGTGTGTGTGTTCTTTCTCCTCTACGTTACTCTAACTTTGCCTCATTTCCCTTCCCCCTTAACTCCACATCTTTCTAAGTCTCCCTGGATTCAGGGGTACCATTGCCAAAGCACCTCCAACCCCATGAAGAGGCCCCACCTGGCTCCTCTTGTGCCAACTAAGAGTGTTTAAGCCCCAAACATAAAATCTGAAATAGATGGGAATTACATCTAAAACAACTTGTAATTTCATGCCCCCTTCCTTTCTGTTTCTCTTTTAAAGATAATTATATCTTTATAAATCGGTCTCTTGCTGGCATGGTGTAGAATTGCAAAAGGAAAGAAAACACTTAAATAACTTTATTACTGATTACTGTATAATTATGGCTATGTGGTTGTTATGGAATAAGAAGAGTGCCCACGCCCTCATTCATAGGTTGAAGCCCTAACTCCCAAAGTGACTGTATTTGGAGACAGGGCCTTAAAGGAGGTAATAAGGTTAAATGAGGTCAGGAGGGTGGGGCCCTAATCTGATAGGACTGGCATCCTTATAAGAAGAGGAAGAGATACCAGAGACTGATCTCTCTTTCTCTGCATGTGCACAGAAAAAAAGGCCACATGAGGACACAGCAAGGCAGCTAGCTGTCTACAAGCCAGGATGAGAGTCCTCACTAGAAACCCCCCTGAAGGCACCTCAATCTTGGACTTCCAGCCTCCAGAACTGTGAGAGAATAAATTTCTGTTGTTTGAGCCACCCACTCTCTGGTATGTTGTTATAGCAGCCCAAGCTGGCTAATATAATGGTCATTCTTTGGAAACTAAGGATAAAAATCTCAAAGATTAAAAAGGAATGCAAATTAAGACTCAAAAGGCCATTGTAATTCTTCTCTTATTGCCACCTATTGTCTGGTGTGAGGAATATAAGGAGGGGAAATTGCTGAGCTTGCCAATCCATAGCATCAAGACATATCTTTTTCTTTGGCCCTGGCCGGGTAGCTCAGTTGGTTAGACCATAGTCCCAATATGCCAAGGTTGTGGGTTGAATCCCTGGCCAGGGCTCATGCAAGAATTAATCAATGAATGTAGAAATAAGTGGAACAACAAATCAATGTGTGTGTTTTTCTCTCTCTCCCCTTATCTCTCTCTCTCAAATCAAGTTATTAAAAAAAAAAAAGACTTATTTTGTTCTCAGAAGGGAAAGGTGGTATGTTTCAAAGAAACCTGTTTTAGAAGCGGAGATGGACAGAGGAAGCTGACAGGAATTTCCCGTCCACCAGCTGAAAGAGGCAGCTCTCAAGTCAGTCTCTGCGAAGGGCAAAGGAGGGGCACGAAATGAACTCCTTCTTGTCGGAAATAACTTACAGGGCTACATGGCCAGATAAAGGGAATAGCAGGAAAGAGGAATGTCAGGGTACATTGGGTTAATATGAGTGGTCCTTCTAAGGCCTTTTGTTCTAAAACCCAACTGTTCTTCAAGGTCAGGTTTAGGGCCCTTGGGGAGAGGAAGGATGCCTCGCCTTCCTGTTTCATTTTGCCCGTCTGTGACAGAGGCGGGCAGATCAACTGGGGCAGAAATGTTTGGAGTAGGCCAGCAAATCCATATCAGAATGCTGGATGCTTATGTTGTCTACCGATTTAGAAACAGAGACAGCCCCTAATAGCTATGAGTTCAGCAGAGACACTGGCAGGAAGTTGAGGCGTGTCCTCGCAGACTGCTTGCTATGTGGCAGTCAAGCTGGGGATGGTTCCCAAGGCCATGTGTTGGCTGTCCTTTCAGGCTCACTTTGCTGGAAACATGTCTGCAGATGGAAAGGCGGCTGGGAGCGGGCCAGATCAACACCTGGGCTCTCCAGGCCCCAGAGTCCCACCAGGGACTAAGCCAGAGCATTTAGAATGGCCACAGACGTGGTCGCTCAGGGAAAAGGAGCTGACCTTTCTCCAGCCCACCTTCCCACTGCAATACAGACTTCCACAGGCTTTCAGATCCAGATTCCCGGAGTCCCAGACCCACTCACTCAGGTCAAGTTTGTTTTCCGACCTGAGCTTTATGAAGTCTTTTCAATTCTTCTTGCTTAAGCAATTGTTTTGTTGCTTTTTCCAGCTTCTTTCTTCTTCTAAGTGTCTTCCTCTCCTATAAAAACCAACAGAGAAGAAAAAAATATGTCTGAGAAAATGGGGTTGAAACTTACAAAATAGTGTCATAGGCTTCTGCCCTCTGCAACTAAACCACTGCTCAGCTTCTAGAACCGCGACGTCCAATAGAACCTTCTGCAATGATGGGAATGTTCTATATCCGTTGCTGCCTAAATATGGATGCCACCAGCCACATGTGGATAGAGGACACTCGAAATGAGGCTACTGTGATTAAGAAATTAAATTTTGAATTTTATTTCATTTCAATGAGTTTAGATGTAAATGTAAATAGCCACGTGTGGCTAGTAGGTGCTGGATTGGGAAACTGGCGCTATGTGTGTGTGTCTTTGTGTGTGTGTGTGTAGGTGTGTAGCTGGGAGTGGCTTTATAGAACACCGACTTGGTTCAGTTGAAGGAAGGGATAATACAAGAATTATGCTCCCTATAGGTGATACTATATAGCCCAGGGCTGAGGAACCTGGGAAACACACACACATACACACACTCTCACACTCAAGTGTACTACCTGAAAACCAGTTAACAACTTTAAATAGTCCTCAGGTTGGGTCCACACCGCCTAATTAAACCTGGGAATAGAGGAGCATATCTAAATCAAATGAAAAGGTTTCTTGGCTGGAGAGAGGCATATGATTGCCTCTCTTCCCTATTTCACTTTGCTGTATAAATGAATCATTAATGTCGCTGGGTTCTCTGTGTGCCTGGGCTTATAAAATACAGAACATTCAAAACTGATGCATTTAAATTAGATGTCTGGATCTTGAGGGTGCTGTTTCCAGGTTTTAGACACCAGAGAACAGGGAAGTCATGGTGTGGGCAGCTCCACACATTGGAAAGTTCAAGAGACATTCTGATTGGGGAAACAGCAGAGGACAGAGGAGGGGCACAGGGCGGGAGCCATGCAAGCTGGGTCAGTTCCCAGCTGAGCTGCGTGAGTTTCAGCAGCTCACACACTTTCTGAACTGTCTTGTAGGAGTGTAATAAGGATTACATGAGATAAGGTGGGTCAAGCCCTTTGCAGAATACTTGAAAAAGATACAGGATAGAAATTCGGTACATATTATGATTTTTATTATTATTATTAGCATTATTATTATATTATAAATTAGCATGATTATAATTTTTACCAAAATCCATTATTTTTCACCTATGATATGTTTGTAGGGGTAATATATATAATATATATGTACACATCCTGCATATACAATGTAAATGTTCAAATTGGACTAGTTTTATTATGAATTTGCCTTCTCTGATCATACACACCGATTGTCTACAATAGCGTGAGGAATAGAGCATGCCAGAGGTTCCTACTTAAAGCTGGAGGAAACAAATGTGGAATTAGAGAGTTATTACAGCTCAGCTGGTGCCTGGGTACTCAATAACTGTGGTTGAACCAAAGGTTTGTCCGTGAAAAGGACCATACACCCACAAGTGGGGAATAGACCTAAAGGGACTGACCCCACACACTGCCAGAGGAATCTGGGTTCATAACAGAGGCTAACAATGAGCTCAAAAGCATGAACCTTTCCAGGGTTTCATGGACCCTTGTCATTCTGAAACCCATTCCACGGAGAGATCATCACTCTCCTTAGGAAAGCATCCACCTCTCAGGGTTCCGAATGTCTATAGGCCACCAGTGAAAACATTCATCTCAGTGATGAAACTTGTTTTTTATAGAATTCCCTTTAGGATCTAGAATCCTAGTGGTCTTACGCTCTCCTTCATCTGTTTCTAGGGGATGACTTCCAGATTGACTGTCAGTCACTCTGAACAGAGGGTCTGGGCCACTGGGGTAGGGGAACCCCTCTATGAAGCAGCCAGGACCTTTCTGAAAAGGCTGGGCAGGGGCGTGGTGGAGATCACTGGTAATTGTTATCCAGAGACTGTCTAACTCAATCTATGGAGAGTCAGTTCATTTATTTAACAAATATCTCTTGAGCTTACAATTTACTAACCTATATAATAAATCCCAGCACTTATTGAGTGTTATGTGCCAGACACTGTACTGCTTACTTCACATGTATCATCTTAATTATCCCTCAAAACAGACTTATTTTATAGATAAAGGAAATAAAAACTCAGAGACGTTAAATAACTTGCCCAAGATGATCCACAATTAGTAGTTGGTAGAGCCAGGGGGTAAACCTGAGTCCAGCATCCACATTTCTGCTATTCTGTTCCACCTTTCCTGTGCCAAATACTTTGTAGGCACATCGAGGACGTCTGCTTTATAGAAATGGCACAGTCCCCCTGACTGAAGACCATTTAGTACAATTTCAGGGGAGGATGCTTCGACACAGTGCTGTGCTCGCCCCGGCCAGCAGCAGAGCTGCCAAGGCCCGCTGTTGCACCAGGAACCAGCGACACGGAACCGGAGGAGAAAAGAAGGTGCTTTATTGCTTTTTATTAAAAGATGTTGACACAGAAATGAAGGTGGATTCATGAGTGCTCAGGTAGCCTCACGACGTGCCAGGCACAGCTCTATACCCTCAGCGACGGTGAGTGTGATACGGAGAGGAAAAGACAGAGACTACGAGCTAAGGAAGAAAGAGATGAAGGACAGAGAAGGGACAACTCGGGCAGGGCAAGGACAAGCTGCGGGCCCCAGCCTCGGGGACCAGACGCTGGCTTGGGAGCAGAGCCAGTGGGAGGGCAGAGCAGAGGGAAGAGGTGGAATGTGCACATCCTGTCCCCGGGTTCCTAGGCGGAGATTCATGTGAGCTGACACGGGGTCCGTGCCACGTGTCTGGGGACACACATGTATGGGACAGAAGAGATTAAAAAAAACCAGAGCGGGGAAGCCCTCAGCCTTTCCCTCCTGTAAGAGCGGCCCCTCCGAAGCCGGGGAAGCGGGCAGGGGACCGGCGTCCTGGGACAGGAGGCCCGAGCTACCTGCGGGGCTTGCGCTAGGTACCACGGTCTTGCTATTTTGATGTGTTTGGGCCACTCCGTTCTTTTATTCTCTGTAAGTGTCAGGATGGCTGATGCTGGGGCCTCCGCCTCATTTGATTATAGAAGTAAGTCAGGGTCACTCAGAAAGATGAAGGGGCAGTGAGGACACCCCAGAAATCAGCACTCACGTAGAATGCATTTGTGTTGAGTAGCCAGCCAGTCAGCGACGCCCACAGTCACAGAACTGGGAGTCCACACATGCTCTCTCGTTCTCATTCTTTCCTTCCCTCTCTCACACACGCACTCGTGCCATGTCCCAGCCCCCTCCCGACTCGCTCCAGGCTGGGCCTTGGGGAGCTGGGTCCCCTGAGTGACTTGAGATGATGCCAAAGCGCTTAGTGCCAGATATGGAAAAGTTGAGTCTAAATAAATAAATCTCCTTCTCTCCCTTCCTCCTCAGATCCTTACTGCTCCAAAAAGTAAACACCACCAGAGCAGCGAACGGTGCCTCTGTCCACCCGGGAAGCATTGCAGGTCCATCTGCTCAGCCCCGCAGCCCAGTGAAGCTGCTCTGGCCTCAGTGGATTAAAAAACCAGTGGGGAGCTTGGTCCTGGGATGCGTGTCTCTGTATATGTGACATACAGGTACATTTAAAGACATATAAGAGCGTTTGTGCTTTTTAATCTGGGGTAGGGGAGATGTTTAGAGTGTTCTCCAGAAATATTAACGTTCATTAAGCAAGGAGGGGTCCTGCCATCTCCCCAGCCGGCCTGCGATGAGTCCCTTCACAGCAGGCGCCCTCCGCGTATCCATACCTACGTGCAACTGCGCGGTTCCTTTCATATTTCTAATTAGAGCAAACATAACATTTCCTATGCAATCTGCCTCGAGTGCTTCTTCAGTGAAGCTGCGCGCTCCCCAGGGAACTATGCATCCGCTTGCTGTAATTTTTTTCAATAGTTTGCTTGTTGGACCAGAAATTAAACCCACTTTTAAGAGCTGTAGTCACCAAATGGCTTCAAGTAAATACGTCTGTGTCGTTTTCCCCTCCCCAATTTTACGTCTCCGAGAAAGGCAAGCTTAAAAAAGTTCAAAACAACAACAACGAAAATAGGTAATTACTGGGGTATCCCAGGTAAAAAGAGCAGTTGCTGTCAGATGCAATGAAACGCGATCCTTCTAAGGAAACCACTGCAGCTGGAGCCCGCACTGGGTGTGAAGGCTGAGGGTCAGCAGCCCCCGGAGCCAAGGCCCCCTTCGGGTGGCCAAGTGTCGTTACCTGTGACCGCAAGGAGAGCTGGGGGTCGAAGTCTTCATCTGCTGAGGAGGAGGCGGTGGAGGAGTTAGCCCCTGTCACCTGCGCCCTGACGGGGGTGTGCCTGGGACCTGAAAGGGGAACAGAAGAGCTCACTGAGCGCCAAGCTTCTTACTTAGTGACCCGGAGCTGACTCTCCCTCCCCCTCC